ATGTGCTACACTACCCATAGACAGTTTACTGAGAGCATCAGCCACTACATTGGCCTTACGAGGATGGTAAAACACATTCATATCATAGTCCTTAAGGAATTCAAGACATCTCCTTTGACAAAGATTCAACTCTTTATAGGTGAACATATACGGGAGGTTCTTATGATCTTTGAACACCATTCAAGTAATGTCTCCAAATCTTTAGGGCAAATACTACGACTGTAAGCTCGAGGTCTTGAGTCGGGTAGTTCTTCTCATGTACCTTAAGCTGTCTAGAAGCATAAGTTATGACATTACCTTGCTGCATCAACACACAACCTAGGGCGACCCTGGATGTATCACTATAAATCACATAATTGTTTGAACCATCTGGTAGAGTCAAGACATGAGTTGCAGTCAACCTAGACTTTAGTTCTGATAAACTTTTCTCACACTCATCTAACCATTGAAATTTGACCTTCTTTTGAGTTAACTTGGTCAATGGGGAAGCAAAGGATGAAAATCCTTCAACAAATCTCCTGCAATAACCAGTTAAATCTAAGAAATTTTTGATATCTGTTGGAGAGGTGGGTCTGGGTCATTGCTTCACTGCCTCTATTTTCTGAGAATCCACTTGGTTTCCTTCGCAAGATACCACGTGACCAAGGAAAGTGACTAAATGTAACTAGAATTCACATTTGTTGAATTTAGCAAATAACTGGCGATCTGTGAGAGTTTGCAGAAAAACTCTCAGATGAGTCGCATGCTCCTTCTCACTTCGAGAATAAATGAGGATATCATTAATAAAGACAATGACGAACAAGTCCAAATACTGTTTGAACACCCTGCTCATTAAGTCCACAAAAGTTGTAGAAGCATTGGTCAGTCCAAAAGACATAACTATGAATTCATAATGACCATACCGAGTTTTGAAGGTTGTCTTCGGAATGTCACTATCTCTGACTCTGATAGTCGAATCTGAGGTCTTTGAAAAATGACTAGCACACTAAAGTTGGTCGAAGAAGTCATCAATCTTGGGAATATGATATTTGTTCTTAATGGAGACTTTATTCAACTGACGATAGTCAATGCACATCCTGAGAGCACCATCTTTCTTTTTCACGAATACATTGGAGCACCCCATGGACAGATATTGGGTCTGATGAAGCCCTTATCTAGAAGGTCTTTCAACTGTTCCTTTAATTCCTTAAGCTCAACTGGAGCCATTCTATAAGGAGCAATCGAAATAGGCTGGGTATCTGGAAGGAGATCAATTCCGAAGTCGGTTTTCCTTTTCAGCGAAACTCCGAGAAGATCATCTGGAAACACTTTTTGGAAACTCATTTACTACAGAAACTGACTCAAGAGTTGGGGTTTCAGAATTTGAATCCTTAACTCGAACAAGATGGTAGATATACCCTTTAGAGATCATCTTTTTGGCCTTAAGGTAAAAGATAAATCGACCTATAGGCACCGAACAATTACCTTTCCATTCTAAGAGTGGCTCGTTTGGAAACTAAAACCGAACGATCCTAGTTCTATAATCGACTGAGGCATAACATAAATGTAACCAATCATGCCTAAAATGATATCAAAGTATACCATTTCTAACTCTACAAGGTCTGCAGAGATGACTTTCAAAGAGACTGTGACAGGGCAATTTCTGTATACCCGTCTAGCTATAACTGGGCCACTAACTGGAGTAGAGACTGAGAAGGGTTCTGAGAGAGTTTCTAGACAGACACCGAAGTTTACGAAGAGTATTTCCTGGATCTAACAACGCATAAACATCTACATGAAAGACTCGTAACGTACCAATGACCACATCAAGAGAATCTTCCTAGCCCTGGCGAGCCTAGAGAGCATACAATCTATTATGGCGCTGACCGCCACTTGTACCAGATGAAGCACCTTGCTGAGTTGGGCGACATGTTGGTGTTGTTTGAGCTGTAGACTGAGCCTTATTATTATTGTTACCTCTTTGCCCCTGCCTGGCAGAAGGACAATCCTTCAACCTATGGCCAGACTGACCACACCCAAAGTATCCTTACCTGCCTGTAAGACACTCACCCGGATGGTTCTTACCACACTTTGGACAAGTTGGGAAAATCCTGTTACCTGAAGTACTCTCTTGAGACTTAGAGCCCGATGCCCTACCTTTCTGATCCTATCGAAACCTTGGGGATGGAGCACTAGCTGATAAAGGTGCTGGGGCTGTAGATTTATGTTAAAACTGTGAGTGATTCCCACAGCCTGACTTTTGCTGAGAGTACTCATAGTTACCTGTTCTAGCCTTTTTGTTATCTTTAGCCAATTCCCTAAGATTATCCCTCTCAACATGTTGAGCGTGAGTCATGAGTCTTGAGATGTCCATATCCCTAGAAGCATAGCATTCCTACACTCGGTCTTCACCAGATAGGATACCCCAAACAGAAACTTACTCATCTGTGCCCTCGAATCATCAACCGTATGTGGAGCATACTTGGAGAGTTGTGTGAACTTCAGCCCGTACTCTTGGACAGACATTGAAACCTGCTTCAAGTTCATAAACTTTTGTGCCTTAGCTTCTCTAAATTCCCTTGGGAAGAACCTATCCAGAAAAGCTCCAGTAAAACACTCCCAAGTCACTGGAGTTGCATCTGCACCCCTATTGTCCTTCCACTGCGTGAACTATATGTGAGCCACATCCTTAAGCTGGTAGGATGCCAACTCCACCCTATCATTACCAGTCACTTGCATCACCATAAATATCTTCTTGATGTCATCAATGAAGTTTTGTGGATCCTCACCAACCTGCGACCCTAGAGACTCAGGCGGATTCATCCGAGCAAAATCTCGAACCCTAGCTACAGTTGATCCACTATTAGTGTTTGCAGGAACTGAAGCCTGTTGATTGTTCTAGTTAGTCATACTCTGAGCCAAGAGTTGAATCGCATTCTGAAATTCTGCATTCGTAATTTCATGGTTCGGGACTGGAGGAACTGTGTTAGCATTGTGTGCATTCGCATTTCATGCGTAATCTCTACGAGGAGGCATGATCTGAAACACATAATGAAGGATTAGAAATGAGAAGTTGGATCATACCTCACGCATGATAAGAATAGCAAAGAAAGTGAAGTTTTTCTCAAAACACTTCATAGCCTCTCTCTCATAGAATATGATGCATTTCGCACCCATGAAAGATACTCTACTTAGTGCGGCTTTCAAACATCCTAGGACTCTTGAACCTAATGCTCTAATACCAAGTTTTTCATACCCTGAGGCTACCCCCTAGACGTAACACGGGACCTAGAATCACGAGTGACCCTAAGCTAACCTCGAGTCTGGCATATACTAAGCATACTGAGAATAACTAAATAAAAGATATATTATGCAGAAGCTAAACAATAGATAACTGATAGTGGGGAATACCCAAAACTTATCTGAATGTATAAAAAGACTTTCTAAGAGTTTTGTGATACTGAACAATCACTCAAAAGCTAAAGCTGAATCTAATACTATGTCTGAAAAGCCTCTACTGACTAGAGTTGCTGGGACATGCCCCCAGCTAACTCTAGCAAAATTGAAATAAAACACTGAATATGAAAAACATGTCTATTGTTCTCGAAGTATGAGGACTCACTACTGAAGCTGTTGAATACGGATCAAGAACCGATTTATGCGTGATCTGGATGTTGAAACCCTGAACCTACATAATGAAAGGATGTAGCGTAGAGTATGTGTCAGTACTTGAAATGTACTGAGCATGCAAGATATAAATAATAGCAGAAAAAATACATAAGCTAAACAAAGCATAACTGAGCAAAGATATAATCTGAACAGAATGTAAATACTTAATTTTTAACTGACAACTGAGCTGAATGCAATGACGAAGTACTGATTATGAACATAACATGCTGAGACTGAATATTGAAGTATAAACTGAACACCTGGTCAAATGCACTAGAGTCTGACTGTGGGAGCTACTATTAACCGATATAAAACCACGTGAGCTAAACGCGGAGTCCGATGTATACGCCCCATCGAGAGGACCCAATATACCTTGCCAGGGGTATAAAGGCATGACTAGTGTGATCACTAAATTTGATGCCCACAGAAGGGGCTTATAATCCTACGGGGGTACGTAGTTCTGGGACTATGAGGGTACGCTGAACCCAGAGGCGTATGCACATGAAGGGGAGGGGGTTCACATGCACCCATCCTCCCCTTCCTAACCCCTATATAATACTACTATTTTTCTAATTATCTTTTTAAATTTGTATTGGTGAACCCAAGGTTAAAAAGAATACTCTAGTATATTGATAAGTAAGTACAAATAGGGGGTGCATAACTTATAGATTTGTGGTTCAAATTTTTCTATCCACATTAACATTTTTAATTTTTAATTAATATAATAAAATGTGTCACTTTTCATAGATCTTTTTAATAATTTATAAATAAAAAGAGGTTCAATTACCCATATTTTTAGGTTGCATTAGCTATGTCTAGACCTTAAGCTAGAAGTGTCAATAAAGTCAAATTATATTTTTTACTTTCTTTTTCTCCTTTCCTTCTTTACTTGGACGTTTTTCTTTTTGACTTTTCAAAGCCCTAAACTAAAAGGTAAAAAGGAGTAAAGACATCATATTGTTATTCTTTTGGCTTCATTCCACATTTCCACTTTGTTGTTCATGGTGAAGTAGAAGTGAGATTTGAGAACAAGTAACAAGGTATGTTATCTAAAAAAAAAAATTATTTATTAATGTACTTCATTTGTTTTATATGTTTTTCTTGATTTATGAAGTGGTTCCATTATTTGATTGCTTGAATATTTAAATTCTTTGATTGCTTGAATATTTAAATTTATAAGAATTTCTTGATTTCTAAATAGTTATCTAATAATTGTGATTCTTTTATTAGTAAACTTGTTATTTGTGCTAATATTTTTTTAAAATTATTTTGTTTTTATAAGATTGAATAGAAGGGTGAATATTTAATTTTGTAGGTAAAATAATTCTTACAATCAATTCATCAAATCACAAATGGATAAGTTTCTCATCAAGTTACCAAAGCCAAAAGATGGCCAACCAAGTTCTAGCTCTAATCAACCATTTGTGAGTTCACAAGTTGCTTCGGAAGTTCAAAGACATACAAATTCTTTTCCACTTTCAAATATGGATAATATGCTTGATTTTAAATCTCTTGAAGCAGATCCCAAAGATCGAATGCCTATTTCATCTTATGGTCCTAATATTCGAGATGCGGTAAGGAGGTATTACATTCAAAAAAAGCCATGTCAGCCTGTTGATCATATCTTCCCTAAAACTAAGTTTGGAGAAAAAATGCGTCAATTTCGACCAACTTGGTTTAAGAGAAGATCTCAATGGTTGGAATATAGCATTAAAGCAGATGCGGCATTTTGTTTGTGTTGTTATTTGTTCAAGAATGAACTTGAAAGTCGTGGAAATGCCGGAGATTCATTTACAAGAGATGGTTTTAGGTGTTGGAACAAAGCTTTAGAAAGATTTAAAAAACATGTTGGTAAGGTAAATAGTATCCATCATAAATGTTTCAATAGGATGCAAGATTTGAAAAACCAACGACAATCGATCCAATCTTCTTTTGACAAGCAAAGTGAAAAGGCAAGAAGTGATTATCGGATGCGTTTAAATCCCTCAATTGATGTAGCAAGATTTCTCTTGACATCGGGATTTCCATTTTGTGGGCATGATGAAAGTGAAGGTTCCGAATATAAGGGTGCTTTTCTTGAACTTTTGAAATGGTATGGGGATAGAAGTTTTGATGTGGGAAGAGTAATATTAGGTAATGCTCCACAAAATGATATGATGATTTGTCCGACAATTCAAAAAGATATTGTGGAGGCTTGTGCTAAAGAAACAACTAAGACTATCATTGAAGACTTGGACGGTGATTATTTTGGAATATTAGTTGATGAATCAAAGGATGTTTCTCATAAGGAGCAAATGGCTCTAATTTTGAGATATGTCAACAAAAGTGGAATGGTGATAGAGCGATTCTTGGGTATTGTCCACGTAAATGATACATCTTCTCAATCATTAAAAAAGGCAATTTATTCTTTGCTTTTGGATCACTCATTATGTACATCCAAAATACGTGGTCAAGGTTATGATGGGGCTAGTAATATGCAAGGGGAAATAAATGGTCTCAAGTCTTTGATTTTACAAGATACGTCATCTGCATATTCTATTCACTGTTTTGCTCACCAATTGCAATTGGCACTTGTAGGTCTTTCCAAAAAGAATTTGGATGTGGATAATTTTTTTTATGTTCTCGCTAATATTTTGAATACTATTGGAGCTTCATTTAAATGCAGAGATTCACTTCGACAACATCAAGAAGATAAGTTGGAAGAGTTGCTTAAATTTGGAGAAGTTCATACAGGGCAAGGTTTGAATCAAGAACGTGGCCTCCAACGACCGGGTGATACTCGTTGGGGGTCTCATTTTAAAACCTTGGACAATTTCCTGATTCTTTTTTCTTCAATTGTTAATGTGCTTAAGGATATGAAACGTGATTGTCCATATCATCTTGATAGATTTGCGGCGGAAAATCTTTTGAGCAAGATTCATGAATTTGAATTTGTCTTTATGTTGCACTTGATGTTTAAGGTGTTGCTATTGACGAATGAGTTGAATAAAGTTTTACAAAAGAAAGATCAAGATATCGTTAATTCTATGGGATTGCTTGACCTTTCAAAGAAACGATTGCAAATGATGAGAGAGGATGAATGGGACTCTATGATGGATGAGGTTAGCTTATTTTGTGGTAAACATGGAATTTCAATTCCCAAAATGAATGAAGACTACTCTAATGGGAAGTCGAAGCGTAAGAGGTCCAATATTTCATATTTGCATCACTTTCGTGTGGAAGTATTTTATGTCGTCATTGATTTGGCACTTCAAGAACTCAATAATCGTTTTGATGTGGTGACTAGTGACTTGCTTCTCGGTATGGCTAGTTTGAGTCCGGTTGATTCATTTGCTAATTTTCACAAGGATAGGATAATGAAACTAGCCGAGTACTACCCAAGTGAGTTTGGTGATAAAGATCTTCGGGAACTCAATTTTCAACTTGATGATTTTTTTGTCTATGCTCAAAAGTGTGATAGCAAGTTTCTCAACTTGAAGGGAATCAAGGATCTTGCAAAAGTGATGATAGAGACAAAACTAGATCAAACTTGGTCACTTGTGTATCTACTTGTGAAGTTAACTTTGATTATTCCTGTTGCTACCGCAAGCGTGGAAAGAGCATTCTCATCAATGAAGTACATAAAGAATGATTTGCGTAATAGGATGGATGAAGATCTTTTGAATGGTTGTTTAGTTTGCTATATAGAGCATAGTATATTAAAAATGTAAGTAATAATGCCATTATTGACCGTTTTCAAAATATGAAAACTCGTCGAGGACAATTGTAAGTGAATGATGTTTTTTGCTAATAGATTACTATATAAAGATTGCTACTACCTATTTGCTCGTCAACTTGTTCTCACCATAAAATTTATATAATTGAATTAATTGTCTCTTTTGAAGATAATGGTGCCCCCATGTTCTTGAGATCCTGGATACGCCTCTGGCTGAACCCTAGTCCAACTCGGTGTTAAGTTTACTCCCAACTGGAAATATATATGACACAACATAACTGAAATATGGGATAGCTCAATATTCTGACATGCAAATCTGAGAATGCAACATTTAGGTACTAACAATGTAACATTTGAAATCTAAGGCATGGTTATCTATTTAACTGGTCTAGCAAGTGTAATTCATGAACTAAGAGAATCAACACAACTAGGGTTCTGAGTTTCATGCAAGGAACTAAGCAACGTTTCCACGAAAACATGACAATTTGATTAAGAATACTATAACATCTAAATCACAACAATTTCTAAGGCTAGGTCTAAACAATATATGGAGAATCAAGAATCTGAATGAACTCTAGGGACCAAGTGGATGAAAGGAACCCACTAGTGAAATTCCACATACCTGGTGACGAAATATATGGAGAAATCCTTCGATTTTGGGGCAAGAACTTGAAAAAAACCTTATGTTTGTTCTTGAGGAGCTGGTCGACTCCTTCTTCTCTTTTTGCTCTAAGTTTGATGATTTTTTACGAATAAACAATTTAGGTAAGTTCTGACTAAATTACTAGGCTTAAACTAAGTAAAACGACGTAGTTTAGGTATTAAACGACATAGTTTAAATGTCCAACGCATAGGGGAAAAGACCAAACCGACCCTAACTTAAAAGCTAACGAGGCCCATCCACGAAGCCACTAACAGTCTGTCAAAGGAACCACGACCCGTCAAGTACGTTGTGGTTGCTGGCCAAGGTCTACTCATTTTGGGGGGTCCATCCATGAGCCCTACCACGGCCCATGTGAAGGACCACGGACCGTGAAGGCCACTGTGGTTCTTCACTTGGGCTGGGAGTATACTGGCTCAGGTCCACAGACGTCACCACGGCCTGTGGAGGGATCCGTGATCTGATGCCTGAGCCTGGGTGGTTCTGTCTTTCCTCTACGAGCCCTCCCTTGACTCGTGTGGTGATCCACGGCCTGTGAAGGTCTCTGTGGTTCACCAAAAATTTCTGGTTCACCCCTTTTTCTGCTGAAGTGTCTAAGGTAGGTTATGAGGTGCTACATTTTTAGCGTGAGAGAAAGACACTAGATTCCACGTTATAGCTCATGTGGTCTATGTCGGTTAATAGTAAATATCCTACAAAACGAACTAAGTTGTCCTTAAAGATTTTATGAAGCTTTCCTTATGATTTCAAAATGCATTGATCATGTTCATGATTTAAGATGTCTGTTTAATTGTTTTGCTACGTTTAGCTTGGTCATGCATTTCATGTTTTCTTTTATGTCCCCTTATGATCACGTTTTCATGTTTTATGCATATGCTTCATACTTAGATATACTAACTCATACTTGTGCCTACATTATTTCACTAATGTAGGGCGTATGTAGGGTGTGATGCTTCTTCTCGTGGCTAGTTGGTGATTATTGGAGTTCGTAGAGGTGGTGAGTCCTCATAGTCCGACGACCATGTCACCTTTATTATTTTTATATGTCTTTACTTTGTATCGAATGTTTTTATGGTATAAAGGTTACGTCCCGACCACTTTTTCGATGTAATAGATGACTTGTCAAGACTATGTTAGACTTATTCTATATTGTCAAACACTTTACTTTGATATGAATTATCTTATTTCTATTATATTGTGTATATGCATGTCAAGAGGCTTGTGTATGGCCTCTCGGGCCTCATACGTCATATCACACCTAGGGTGTACATTAGATCGTGACACTAGTACTACGAAATCATTCACAAATGTTTCATAATCACAAAAATAGCTCCTTTAAAATCATAATTTCATAACATATTCATAAGAGACATTTTAATTGAAAGCATCAAAATCATGATAGTTTTTCATAGTATGAAGTAATTCAATCAAAAGTATCTTAAAATCATGTCATTCTTTCATAAGGTGTTACTTCAATCAGAAGCCTCAGTTTTCATAAAACTGTTTGATACTTTAATCGAAAGCATCATTAATTCATAAATCATTCATAACTTAATGCATGCATATCAACATAGCTTTGAATCATATCATAAAATACTCATTTGACATGAGTTCATAAAAATATTATTGAAATATGATCAAATCATGCATAATAAGATCATTCATGAAGAGAAAACTTTAATCCCAGCGTTCTTCATGTAGGACCATTTCCCAAAGATCAAGTTTGTATTGACACGGTAGGAAGGAATGTTTAGATTTTTTCTAAGGGGCTCATCAAATAAGAACTTATCATACGTTTGAATCAAAACTCCGAGGCGATCATCATTGCACAACTCCGGTAGCAGTGCTTTCAGGCTCATATCAAATCTCCCGTAGAGAGAATTCATTTGTATCTTGTAGACGTAATCTATCGCTACATTCCCATCTTTTTCAGCCTTTATCATGTTCTCTGAGAGAGTGGTAACAAAGTCTTTAAATGGACTTTCCTCACTCTTCACAAAGAGGTATCCACTCATTGGGACTATAGTGTAGCCTATTTCTTTTCCATACTTAAATCGTCGATGACAATTTTATCTATTGTAAAATCTTTTAATGAAGGAAAAAAAGTTCAATCAACATTTATAAGGAACTTCGTGTTTTTAAGTAATATAGATTAATGGTGTTTGCTATAGATTAATGGTGTTTGCTAGAGAGCATTCATTTGATTGCACTTACTAGAAATTATAATCTAATTGGTTCAAACATTAGACTAGTAAGTGAAACTGCTTTCATTAAGATTTAAGCACTTAATTGGTCTGAATATGTCTTAGTCATTAAGATCTAAAACAGAGTCTTAATATCACTAAGATGTATTCTCGTGTGGATAATATTCACTGTCACTCTATCCACAATCATCAACCACCAATACTAACCACATTTTCTATCACAATCACTACCACCATCAACATTGTCAACCACCATTACCGTCCTCTACCACTAACTACCTTTGCCATCACTATCACTACCACCATCAGCATTGTCAACCACCATTACCGTCATCTACCACCAACCACTTCTTCCATTACAACTACCACATTTGCTAACCACTATTGTCAGATGCTACCACGCTTACCTCCTCAATTATTATAATTGTATTCATTGTTCCCTTGCCTCGGTAGTCACTATCTTCACCATCACTATAAATCACTACGATCAATTTTCTACTACCAACAAACTTCACCATCACAATTAACACTGCCACCATACCACCATACATTCTTCAGTCACCACCACCACCACCATATTTACCCGTTTTGCAACTTCCACCTCCACCACCACTATCAGTCACTACCACCACTACATTCAATCTCTACTATCAACCACCTCCATAATCATGACTAGCACCGCCTTCAACTACCACAAAATACATCATCAACTACCACATATTCTTCAGCAACCACCATTAACACCCACCAACTACTAACCATCAACCAACTTCACCAATACAGCTACCAGCACCATCACCAATCGCTATTATTATAGCAGTTACCACAATACTATTCACCTCCACCGTCACAACTATCACCACTATCATTACTAACCTCTAACAACAACTATCACCGTCACCATCACCATCACCACTACAAACTATTTCCACCATTACTAGCAAGCATAAGTGTTTATTTTTAATCAAATAATGACTTTATTTTAATTTTTAATATTTGATTAATTTTTATTTGAATTGTATTTTTATTCTGTACATATAAATAAATCATGTATATTCAGATGTTGAAAAACAAACAGTCTTAATTATTTAGTGTTCAGATCTAGATCAGATAATATTTTAATCATTCAAATGTGACATTCAAATTCAGATGACATTCAGATTCAGACGTATTAATCTTAACGAAAAATAAATAAGGCCTTAAAATACTAGATGATTTATATTTGAACTTTGTTTGAGTAAAAGGTTAATAGATATCCAAATATTGTTACGCTATATGTGGAGAGTAGGGGCTAATAGTAACCTCCACCTTTTCTCTTCTCACTATTAGTAATATTATTTAGTAATTGTGTAACTTCTTATTCTTCTATGTATGTGACTCTATATTTATTGTTTTACTTATTATTAATAATCTCAAGGATGACATTCATCGTTTAAAAGAAAATAATGTCAAAATAGACTTGATAATATTGAAAGTCTTAAAAATCCGGATAATAATTCTTAATCTTCATATGGAGATGAAGGTGATAACTTTCTTCAAACGCTTAAGTTTAAATAGAAGGATAAAGATAATTTTTTGTTTTACTCAAGGTGCCTTTACAAGTATAAACAATCCTGGCAAGATTAATGAAAACTTTTACAATCCGGGTCCGCCCTAAAGCCCTCCTAGCTAACGGGTAATCCAACGGATTTATTCGACAGTCTTTCAAGAATCTGCCTGGATCATTTTAACTTAACCTTAGTATAATTGTTCAATATGTTTCAACAATAGACATAATCGTCATTTCTTATAGTAACTTAGTATGTTATAGTCCAACACAAATAGTCTAGCATATCATTTAGGCTAAGCACATAAAGATAAGAATAAATAAAATTTAAAATGTACCTGGAGTAGCACTCCTGAGGAACTTGAAGTATGAACCAAACTGAAAGTTTTTATTAAAAAAACTCAAAGATTTACAGAAGAAAGTATTACAATACTAGAGAGAGGGGGGGGAGGGGGGTTCTACTCGAAGATTTACAGAAGAAAGTATTACAATACTAGAGAGAGAGGGGTTCTAAGACCTGCCTCACTAAAGAAAATCTCGTCTCCTTATATAGAGGTCGGAAATTCTAAAACGATAAGATAATATGGCCTACACAATTTACAACGGCCAATAAGAAAAGGATAAGACCGACAAACAAACATGGTCTTTCCACTAGAAAATGTGGCCTACATCTATTATTATGGCCTTCGTTTAACTTTATTAAAGTCTTTGACTTATTACCCCAATTATTTTATTTGTGGGGCCTTCTTTATTTTACACCTTTCCTTTTCCTTTGTCTTTGCAGGCAATGTTGTTGGAAGATTCTTCCACTTGGTCTTGGAGTCTTTGGAGAACAGTATTGATATCAACCTCTTCGTTGCTATTAGCACTTTGTGCTTCTCCTACCATGCATGATTCTTCATCATCATTGGTGTGGCTAGCTGATGCCATGGATATATCCCTTACATCTATGTTGAGATTTTTCATTAAATCTCTTTTTACTTCTTCCAGGTATAAAGCTATTGCTTCTTATATGGATATCAATCCCTTTTTCATCTGAAGTTTTCTTGCAATCTGCTTGAATGGACTAAGATCATCCATTTGTGATTTTGATTTTCTGTATTTTGATATTTATCCATTGTTGTATTAATTAAATCTATAATTTCTTGACCATGGATTTTTCCTTCGAGGTATTTTTGTATTAATTTATTTCAAAACTTTGTATAAAAAGTCCTCTGTAAACATGGGAATCATTCAGGGGTACTAATAACCTCTACAGACCATTTCATGATCCAAGGGATTGAGAATTCTATATAAAAAAAATACATTAAGAACATACCTTCAAAGAATATATTATCCTTCTCTAAACTTATGAGTTTAGGGGAGATATCCACCCATTCAGAATATAAACCTTTGTAAGGCTCTGGTAATATTTTTACTGAGAGACCATATAAAGTCCACCATTGACAAAACCAATTTGGAATCGGTTGGTTAATAACTTGAGAGCATATTTTTATAAAACAAGAATGTTTTTTATTAGAATTTTCATATAATAAATCTCTATTAAAGCTATCCATATAGTCCCAGTAATTACATTTTACTGCCACCTTTTGAATCTGGATGGATATAATCCCTTTATTTTAATAGGCTCATTCCTCATTCTTCTGGAGCCATAACTCTTTTTATTATAATTTTTGAAAAGCTATAAACTTTTTTAGTGTTGGCCGGGTAGAAATGCTGGAATTCACCAGACCCTGTTGCTGAGAGTATCATCTCATAATGCATCTTGTATTTATAAGCATGTGTGGT